AATCAATGTAATGAAACAAGCTATATGAATGGTTGAGTGTGAAGCTGATGATGTGCCCTGTAAACTTTCACTCAATCCAAAATAAAAACATTTAATTAAAAAAAAAAGATATATTGATAATTACTGGTGATTGGAAGGCAGAATCAATCCTTGGAAGATATGGCCTTGGTGATAAAAACGATGCTGGAGATGGCATGACAGAATTTTTCAAGACCAATGACTTCTTCATTGCAAATACCTTTTTTAAACAACATAAAAGACTATACACACGGACCTCACCAGATGTAATACATAGAGATCAAATAGAATACATCTGTGGAAAAGCCCCAATATCATCAGCCAGAACAAGGCCAGAGGCAGACTATGGAACAGACCATCAATTGCTCAGATGCAAGTTCAGGCTGTAGCTGAAGAAAATTAAAGCAAATTCACTGGAGCCAAAGTATGACCTTGAACATTTCCCACCTGAATTTAGATATAATCTCAAGAACAGATTTGATTCATTAGACAATAATATCTGAAGACCAAAAGAATTGTGTGATGACATAAAATAACCATCCAGAAGTGTTAACACAGCTGGGAGCAGGATTCTGTAAAGGAATTAGAACATAACCATCTCATGTAAATAAAAAATGTTTTAGGTTTACCTGTAAGGAAACCTCAAGATCACCATTAGAAAGAATTCTTGAAAAAACTTAAAAAAAAAAAAAAAAAAGATGTATATTCAAAGATCTGTCTCATCATTTGATAGAAGCTCAAAAGGAGGCATATGGATAGGGTGAGCAAGGAAAATGTGTTGGAAAATTATCTTATAGCTCTAAGATACCATAATTTGAATCAAACTTAAACCAAAAGAGCTACTAACTGATGTCTCAGATGGGTATTATCTGTACTGGTGGTGGTGGTTGTGTGCCATGGAGTCAGTTCCAACTCATAGTGACCCTGTACAGGGTTTCCGAGGTTGTAAATCTTTACAGAAGCAGAAAGCCTCATCTTTCTCCCATGGAACAGCTGGTAGCTTTGAACTGTGATCCTGAGGTGACTCTTGCCGTTAGCCACATTTCTATGCAAATGAAAAGAACATGAAACCATTTTTCTTACTGTTTTCTAACATCTGTATGCCAACAATGACTTTGAGTCCATCTTCATTTCTTTTTTGGCTGCCTTAATATTTCATGAAATTTAAATAGAAAAATTTCATTAAAAAAACATACAGGAAGAAAACAAGAGGTCATGAAAAAGAAAAAAAAGAAGGAAAAGACCAACAAGGATGTCAGAAGAGATTCTGAAACTTGCTCTCTAACATAGAGATGATAAAGCAAATGGAAGAAATGAGGTTAAAGAGAGGAACAGAACATTTCAAAGGCATCTCCAGAAGACAAAGTCATATATCATAATGAAATGTTTAATGACCTGGAGTTAGATAACCATAAGGGAAGACCACATTCAGCATTTCTCAAGCACAAAGAACTGAAGAAAAAATTCAAGCTTAGACTTGAAATAATGGA